CTTCCTCCTCCTCCTCCTCCTCCGACTAGGGCTGAATTAGCAAGGTAATTCGTGCTTTACTGTTGTTCCTCATATTCACTAAAACCCCACTTAGGTGAAGCTGGATAGTGCAAACCAGTAAGGAGGAAATCTTGATAATGACTATCATTTCTCTAGCATTTGCTCTGTGCCAGTACTGTAGTCTGCATTTTACATAAATCGTGGCATGCAAAACTCCTTGGAGGCAAACCATTTTCTTATCTGCACTCTACAGATAGATGTGGGAACAGAGGAGTCCTTAAGTAACAGCTGTGTAGATAGCCAAATTAGGACAAAAACCTCCTGCAGGCAGACCAAGTCCATGCCTGGAATCCCTCTGTAAGAAGCTGCCATGAGTGAACAGCACAGCAATGTAGAAGTTGGTGCTAGGAGGGAGGAGGCATCGACGTTGGGGAAACCTCTGGAAAGGTTTCTGGAGTTCGAACACCTGGACAGGAATGTACTTGGAGCTGGTCCAGCTCCAGATTCTGTGATACTGCGACAGTGAGAAGGGGTAAGGAGGAAGAAGAGAGAGAAAAAACAGTTACGAATTAGAGTGAAATGGAAGGCCTCAGACAGTATAAGTGGGTTTGGATCCTCCTTTTTAGTCTTCCTTTCCACATCAATCTGTGAACATGTCCTGTTGGCGCCTCTTCCAAAATAAACTCTGCCAAATGTTTGCATAAAAATCTTTCCATTTTCCCTCTTGCCCACACCCCCTTCATCCTTGTCAAAGCATCAGGGTATCTGATTTCACTTCACTGACTTCTCTACCCACTTCCTCCTGTACACCAGGTTTTCAAGGCTGGGCATGAGCTTGGTTGTGTTGCTGTCCTTGGGATCTGACGGTGGACTCCAGCCACTGGCCCTTCCTTTCTTGTGCCTGGACAGGGTGACTTCCTTCTACTTAGAAGGGTATCTAGCATGTGGTTAGAATTTAGTATTGATGTGTGACAGGATGAAAGAGAGCTACGATCATGTGTGAGTGCTTGAATGGATACGTAAAAAATTGCATGTGAAGGCAGGGAGGAAACTGAAGAGGAAGGAAAGAGAAAAAACAGCGGGTGAGACTAGGAAATCAAACTGAGTGGGAAAAATCATGCACTTCCAAAATTTCACTGAAACTGAGATTGGAGGAGAGCAAGTGGAAAGATATGAGGCTGGAGTGATTGTTAGATTCTGTGAGCGCAAACACACCTAAGCTGATGAGAAATAAATCGCTGGCAGTGCTTTGGAAGTAGTAATTGCATTTTTTTCTTTGTGTTGCTGGTCTTCACAGGGTGGCTCTGAAGAGCATCTATCAACAAGGTGCTAAAGGGGAAGTCTGTCTTCCTCATGCAGTCACCATAAAGCCTGGCAGAAATGGACTTGGACATAGGCAAAATTGGGGGAAAATGAGGGGAAATTACAAGTCCAGGAAAGGAGAAGTAACTTCCGAATAGAATTTTACCTCTATGAAGAACGTCTTCTGAAGAGACTATTTAGAAAGCACTTGAAATTTTTATGGCTATGTGAAAATGGACACATCCAAACTACATCAAATTATGAGAATTGTATGGGAAACAAAAATTGGTATCATTTGGAAAACATCAACATGAATTCTTAAATTAGTTGTTGCTCTTTTAATATAAGTTGAACATCATTTCATCAGATATATTGACAAGTATAAAGAGTTTTACAAAATTTTAGACACTAATAATGAAATAAATGGAGTAGTAAGCCAGGCCTACAATTCAGCTACTCAGGAGGCTCAAGCAGGAGGATAAAATTCAATATTTAGTTTAGCAATTTAGTGAGATTTTGTCTTAAAAAGTAGCTATGCCAAAACAAAAACAAAACAAAACAAAACAAAACCAACCAAACCAAATCAAACAAAACAAAACAGACCAGACTGGGAGTACAGCTGAGAGGGAGGTAGAGGAGAGGTAAGTACTTGCTTAAGCTTGCATGAAGTCCTAGGTTCAACCCCAGCACCATAAAATGAAAAAAAGAAAAAAGGAAAGCAATAAAAAAGTACTGTTACGTTTGCTTATAGATTGAATGAACTGTAAAGCCAACAAGGAAACTAAATTATATTACGACTAATAAACAATATTACCAGGATGATTTACATATATACTTGTTAAAAAAATTAAATGAAATATGATGCTAACTTAGATGAGTAAATTGTTAAAGTTAATAAATATATTAATGTTCTATGCTTTATAATTATCAATCAAGATAGCAAATTGTTAATCTAATGTGTGTGTGTGTGTGTGTGTGTGTGTGTGTGCGTGTGTGTGTGTGTGTGTGTGTGTTTGAGATAGGGTTTTACACTCTAAACTTGGCTGATCTGGTACTCTCTGTTGCTGAGGATTGCCCTGAACTAGTTATCTTCCTGCCTAAGCCACTTAACTGCTGAGATTATAGTCATATACCATCAGACATGGTGAAATGACTTCTTGACTAACTATACTTATTTTGCCTAAGTATGACAACTATGTATCTATCATCTATCTATCTATCTATCTATCTATCATCTGTCTGTCTGTATGTCTATCATCTATCATCTACCTACTTACACCTACCTATCATGTACCCTGAAATCTGAACTTTGTTGTATTATCTGTGGATATTTGCTCAAGTGCCTATCATTTAATTTTCTAGGCAATATATAAAGATATTAGGCATGTTTCAGTCATGCAGACACACAGATACATACACATAAGTGCCCATATGGGCACGTGATCTGTGTGGTTGCTCTGGGTACTGTGCTTTGAGAAGCCCATTCTTAGTCTACTGTCACTGTCTTTAAATTTTAAAATTGCATTTGGACAAGGATACTCTTCACTTTGCCTTGGGCTTCACAAATTTTCTAGATAGCTATGGATGCTCACACATGTTAGGTAGACATTATGGATAGTAATGTATGACTTTAAGATGATTTAATCTATAGGACAAAAGGATATTAAATGTGTCATTTCAAAAAGAAAAGTATACTAAAGAAAAGAATGTTGAGTCATTTTGTTTTAATCAAGGAGTTAAGAGAGTCTAGACCCAGTTCACTGTGAAATGATGTCCAAAAATCATTAGTGCAGCTTTCCAGTCAAAAAAAAAACAAAATGAAAAACAGCAACCAACATGACCTGTAATTCTAAATCAGATACTTGAGTTTCAAGTCTAAGCATGAAATGAATTTTGGGCATTATCAAATGGCAACTGAGCATCTATTTATGTGGTCATGTTTTTTCTTGTTACATTCCTGAATAAGCCATCAATTTACTATGATACTAAATTTAAATATCTAGTCTTTAACTTGGAGTTTATAATTATACCCATAACCAGGACATGTTTGTCCTTCCTGTTACATGTGAAACTGGGCTAATTTTGTCAGATTTTACTAATTTCATGAAAGGAACTGGGAACCTCAGTGTTTTCTAAAACTCTGTAGGAAGTAGTCCATGAACTAATGGTTTCTGGAAGACATACTAGATACAGTTCAATAATAAGATATACTTAGATTTATGGAATGAAGTCCAGGGATGAAATGCAACAGTCTGTTCAGACCAGTATAAGATTGAAAAGAAAAGGTTTGTTGTAAAGAGATAAAAAGAAGTCAGGAACTCTTCTATTGAGATGTAAATGTTAGCATCTCCAGGTTGGCCTTGGAAAGGCAATGAAGTTACTACCCAGCTTGACTCCTAGGAGACTGAAGAGACAACCCATATCATGGGGATCCTTGAAACATAAGCACTGCAGGGTCAGCTGATGGGAAAACAAGATGGGTGCGCACCAACAAAGCTGATACAGTGGCAGCAAAGTAGGGACGTCAGAAGTCAGTGTCTCAGAAGGCAGGAAACTTTCAAAAGTCAACAGCCAATATTTCCAAAAATCCACAAAAAGCTTGACAAAGAAAACAACTGAAGCAGGTGTCCCCTAAATTTAACCAAGCAGAGACTTCTAAGTCCTCAAGACAGTGGTGTGAAGAGAGCAGATAGATGTGTGGGGAGTGGAACTAAGTGGAGAAAGAGATGGTGGCTTTCAGAGATGTTTGTAAAGAGAAAAGAAATAGGCCCATGTTTCATAAGCATATCAGGCATAATGGAAGCCCTTGAGCATTTCTGAGAAATACTTCAGCATATTTATGCATTGAAGAAATAAAATTTTGAACAAGTGAGAGTGAATGGACCCCAAAAGAACTGATTTTATTCCATTTCAATTTCCTATTTATTTTCAGCTCTTGCCATTTATAATTCTCAAAAATTGGAATCTGATATTTATCAACTGCATAATTTTGCAACTTACCAAAATGTTCCCTATGCATTCACTTGTACACTGTAGGAGTAAGTACTTTAATTAAGTAAGTCTGATATTGCTCATCGCCTTGTAGAAAGAGCAGCTGTAGAGTACGGCATTTATGTTACCTCATTCTTCTGTGTGCTAATGAGTTAGTGAATGTGTTGGCAGTCAGAGCTTTTCTTATTTATGTTAAAGTTTGGAGGAACTATACTTTTAATCACTGCCTTTGTAGAAGATTAATTAGAGAATGTTATACCTAAAACAATTTTCTTCATGCAAGGCATTTGATGAAAATGGAAATGTTTTGCTTAAATCCCTGGATGGCTTCCCTCTGTGTTATATAGTTACTATTCGAAGACATCGAATTGTTCTTGTACACTCTTGGACAGCAGGAACTGTATCTGATTCAGTCTAGTGTCCTATGAAGTCAATACATTGCCTTCTGAGTCACAGGCTATACCCAGTCATGACCTGTGGAAAAAGGAGTCATCAGTCTGCACAGGTCCTGACTTGACTTTCTCAAAGAGAATTGAGATTCTGGGTGAAGCTATGTTAACATCCAGGAATGCTATAA